TTTCATTTATTGTTCGAGTGGGTTAAGGGTTTGGGTTTTCAATCCATCAGCTCTCTTGTGGAGTTGCTGAACCATTGTAATCTGTGACTCTATTGTCCTTTTGTATACTTCTAGTATACTGGGACCTTTTTTAATATATGTTTCATTAATTATCAAAGAAAAAAAAACTTCTAGAATGGAATAACGATGAAAATCATGAGCCAGAGTTTATAAAGAAGAAGTGTGAAATAAAAGACGTCAGAGGACTTAGACTCTTGCATGAAGAAGTCTTTTGACGTGAAAGAGAGAGAAGCATTTCTCAAGGAAATTGAAATTCTTAGGAGCCAATTGAAGTCATGCACTGAAACACCAGCAAACAAATCAATTGACAGGCTTAGATCCTCTTTGTTGTTGCAATCTATCCAGTTGAGAAGCAGCACATATGCTCGAGGTAATAATGAGGAAGAATTCAAGAAGGAAAGACTAAGGTGGATGGAAATGGAGAGCGAGTGGATTTCATTGACTGATGAATTGAGAATTGATCTTGAGTCCATCTGTCAAAGAGCAGAAAAGGTGGAGATGGAATTGAGATTAGAGAAGAAGTGCACAAAGGAATTGGATGATGTACTAAAAAGATCTGTTCTTGGGCATGCTAGACACGGCCACTGAAGCTGCTTCCTCTGCTTCTCTCAACCTAACAAGAAGTTTACCTGCAGCATGTACAGCTTTTGCTGTGTCTTTAAGCTGAATTTTAAGACTTTGATTCTCCTTCAGTAAATCCCTTTCCCTCTCTCTTTTCACCCTAAAAGTGGAAAGCTCTGTTGCAAAGGACTTGGCAAAACGAGAGCCATGACCTTTCTCTCCTGCTATTTTGGCTGCCCTTTTCACCTCTGCTATCCCTTCCATAATTGGGTTTTCAATTGGGCTACTGCCTACTGGGCTTGAACAGTGGGTTACAACCAATTTACCTATATTTTTAATGCATCTGGGCTTGGACTACACTGGGCTACAGCCCATTGTAGCCCATCACTGGATCCGCCCATGATCACAGTAGAGGATCATGTTGTCGATTGCTTTAAGTAATTAGGTTCAATTTTCAGTAAGGAAGGAGATAACAAGATGTAAAGCATTAGTACTAGAGCTGGTTGGACAATAGACGAAGTGGAGAACTGTTGCAGGGCTTAACACCTTCCAAGCTAGAAGACAATATCATCATATAAGTTGGTAAACCAACTATGCTTTGGACAATTAAGTTGGGTCACTAATAGGAATGAGAATAAGATGGACAGGCAAACCCCTAAAATTTATCAATAAGAAATGATGATATATGCTAAAAAAGATTTGACTTCATTTAACTTTCAGTAGAATTAATCTAGTTGTCAAACTTTGTTGACAAACTAAACATTTTACCAACTATGCTTTGGACAATTGAGTTGGGTCACTAATAGGAATGAGAATAAGATGGACAGGTGTTCTCCTAAAATTTGATCAATAAGATATGAGGATATATGCTAAAAAAGATTTGACTTCATTTAACTTTTAGTAGAATTAATCTAGTTGTACAAACTTACAAACTAAACATTGACAAGATCTAGGTCATTGATTTCCATTGATTTTAAAAACTATTGGCCTAGATGTTGCCAACACATAGTTTGTAAGCCATGTTTGTCAACTTAGTTTGTACAAATAGCATGATTCCTTTTAGCATATGTAGTTTTGGCTTGGACAAAAAATAAAATAAAACAAATCTTGTAACTATCCTATGCTAAAAAATATTTGACTTAGTATATGTAGCTTCGGATTGAACCAAACGGCATAAATAATAAATCAATAAAATAAAATCGTGTAACCAACCATAGGCTTATTAAGGATAATTCTTGATTAGATCCAATCTATTCATGAACAACGTAAAAATATGAGAAAAGTGATAATTGTATTTTATACACTGATTCAGGAGCCTAAAATATCGATATTTGATAATTCTTTTGACAAAATATCTTAAATTGTTGTATTTTATGTTATATAGGTAAAACTCAATGGTTGAACAAGGAATTGGAAGAAACAAAAGAAAATCAAGGAAAAATGGCAAAGTCCAAAGTTTGGGGACTAAATTGTAAATATTCAATAGTTGATTCGGACACAAGAAGATACTTTGAAAATTGCTATGAGACAATTGGATGGAATTAGAACTCGAAAAGGAATGTAATATGATCAAACTATTATCAAAATCAATTTTCAATCGCACAAGTTATATTACAGATTTTTAGCCGAATATTGAGACCCATTTTTGGCACAGTAAACGTCTGAATTGAAAAAATTCCATTTCTATAAAAGTTGTAGCCCTTTGAGTTAGCTTTCCAACGCACTTTGAATTGCATCAATCGGATATCAGAAAAGAGAGTTATGGCCAAAATACTGACAGCTGTGTAGAGACAAAAAAATCCGCGTGCGAATGCAACTTTCCTTATTCGATTGGAACTCTTTTGAAATCCAATTTGGACGTGATTTTCAACCAATTTTCTACTCCTACAAATACCTAACAGCAGAATACATATGAGAGGCCTCTCATATTTATCTCATACTCTAATATTCATCATTTATTATCATCAAAAGAGGAAAATTCATAATTTTTGTTAGAGAATTGAAGGGGACTTGCAAGAATTCAATCAAGTGAAGATTCAAATTTGATTTTTAGGCAAAAAAGAGAAGGTGCAAGTGGAGATTCATCAAGAAACCATTGAAGAGATTTAAGATTTCAAGATTTATCTTCATCTTGTCAATTTATCAAAAATTCGGATTATGTTTTTTCACTTAAATATGATTTCTTGTAATTTCGATATGTTAGGCTAGTTTTATACATTGTTAGGATGATATGAAACCTTGTTATGAGATTTTTGATATTAATTAATTATTTTGACGACTAGTTTTCTTGGATGTTTATTATTGTTTTCACCGATTTTTCAATTAATTAGCTCCTAATTGACATGATTTATTGAAATCTATTATTATNTTCTAATTTGTGTATTTTTTCTTGGATGTTTATTACTGTTTTCACCGACTTTCAATTAATTAGCTACTAATTGGAATGATTTATTGGAATCTATTATTACCGAGAGAGATAATAGGTTTTTAGCTAAAAGTAATAAACATTGTAAAGTTCAATAGAGGATAGGGATATACCTCTATGCTTTACTTGGTTTCCATAGGTGTTCTAGATCGTTTAATGCATTTATCATGTTTGCATCTTTCATCGAGAGATAGGAGGGTCACATGAGGGTAATATATTTAATAACTATCGAGAGAGGTTTTTAATTAAATTAGGAACTCTAACCAACAAGAATGATTACAAATTGTCACTTTAATTCGTTGTGCTAAAAATGGATTAATAAGGGGGATTCAACATCTTAGTCATTAATATCGAAAACTCAAAACCTATTTGCTATTCGATTAAGGTTGCTATTAATTTGAACTCGATTGAATACTTAGTCCTAGTGGGTTCGACACTCTATACACTACTATATTACTTATTCACAATTCCGTTCACTTGCGGGAAATCAAACGACCAAAAAGCTAGATAACAACCTTATAGTAGAATTTCTCCAAGATACAAGGACAAGAAATGGAAAGCTTACAAGGAGAAAAAGTTGAAAAGAAACATTCAAGTACACAAATGCATGGAGAGAGAGGAATTGCAAGCATGAGACTTACATCTATGATGAGATGATGGTGCTCTTCATTTTTTAGAATTGGCAACGGAGGCTCAAGCATATCTTGCTGCAAAAATTATTAGATGATTCTATCAAATCTTAATAATCCAACAGCGAATAATTTTGGTTCAATTCACATAAAACGTTGACTTCTTACAGGGCACTCATCATCTGAATCATCACTCTTCCAATCAATCCCAGCAGCCAATGCTGCAGCTTTTTTCGCTTCCTTTATTGTAGCCTTCTTCCGAAGCAACCTCTTCGCTCTGGAAGCTTTTGACCTGTTACATTGTAACAAGGAAATGATAATTATTCCACAATATATACATGGAAGAAGCAGGAGGAGGAGGAGGAGATTCCCACGTTTTAAAACTGAGAAGCATCATGTAGTATTAACAGCGGTTAGATAATGCCCAAGTGGTATCAGTATTCAACTTAAATCTCTCATAAGGTAGAGATCTTGGGTTTGAACCCTAAGAGAGGCCATAAAAATTTGTTAGGGGTAAGATTGACTAGACTTTTCCAAAGTGGACAGTACGTAAAAGAACGGTCGGGCACGAGGCTAGGATCGTTAAAAATGCGTTTTTTTTTGTAATGACCTAGGCTTCGTGCCCAAACCATTATATCATACATACAGTCCAATCTGAGAGAATCTAAACCCATCTTACTCCTCACGGATTTCTATCGTGTCCTAAGATTCGAACACATGACCTCCTCTTAAGAGAGTCTTAAGCTGAATCTTGTTACCAGTTGTCCAATTGGTATTAGAATTCAACTTAAATCTCTCTTAAGAGAAAGACTATGGGTTCGAATTCTGGAACTCGAGAGGTAAGATGGGTTTAGGTTTTCCCAGAGCGGACAGTATGTATGATATAACAGATTGGACACAGAGGCCACGTCATTACAAAAAAAATGCGTTTTTTTTGTAACGATCCGACCTTTATGTCCAAACCGTTAACTTACGTATCATCTACTCTGCAAGAGCGCTCATCTTAGCCATCACTGATTTTCATCGCGTCCCCAGGATTCAAACCCATGACATCCTCTTAAGGGAAATTTAAGCTGAATCCTGATACCAAGAGCGAACAATATGTATGATATAACAGCTTGGGAACGAGGCATAGGTCTTTACAAGCTCCCGAACAATTCAAATAGAATTTATCTATCATATGCAAACAAGTTATAAAAATATTGAAACAAATAAATTTCTGATTTTAGGTAGCTTCCTAATTCTTCACAAAAGGGATATTTTTGTTTCTTTTAGTTTTCTTCATTTGGTGGAAGGGAAAGCAAAGAAGCACGGATACAAATACGTAATTCGAACATGATACAATACGGGTAAGTCGATTCAGCTTTTAAAAAAATAGGATGCGTGGACACATGTTATAAAATTTAACATAATTTCATTAATATATAAATATTTAAAATAGAAGCATGATAATAAAAATAAAATAAAATACTAAAACATTTTATCTTAAACATTAATTATCCCAACTTCATTTTCTTCAACGTCATTAAAAATAAAACTCTCCAACTCTGGCTCATCTAATAATAGATTAGCAACATCAAGTAGTCCAACAATTTCAAGAGTATCAAATGAGTCTCCTACAATGTCCTACATTCCGAATTCTCCTTTTGAATAGAGATCTAATTTTCTTGATAAAAGACGAAGATTGCTATGAATGAATACCAATTCTTCAATTCCTAGTGGAGTTATTACTTCTTATGGAGTGCACAAAAAAAATACACACTCCAATTATTTAATAATGGTTACTATCTATTTCCAATGATAAAAATATATTTATCAATTATTAACATAATTTCACATGTATTACAAGATTAAGTCCCTGATTTGTAGAGATTAAAATCAGATTTTTAGTAAATTTTAATAAAAGCTGATGAAATGTGTGGTTAAAAAGTTGTGGGTCCCATAAAATGACTGGTTAAAATTTATTGTGGACTTTAAATTGAGATTTTAATCCAAACTAAACAGGTGCTAAATAATAGTGTATTTTTAATAAAAAGTCTAGTTAATTAATTTAAAACTCTAATTGTGTACTTCTAATAAATATTATTAATATTCAATAAAGTAAAAAATCATTTTCAATCTATAGTCAATAACAATGAGTTTTAAAAGAGTTTAAAATTCATAACACTCTTCTTCACGTGTCCTTACGTATCGAAAATAATTAAAAAATATAAAATAATTAAGCCTTGTTTGGTGGGGGATTAAAATTAAAATTTTAGTAGATTTTGATAAAAGTTGATGAGATGTGCAGTCGAAAAGTTGTAGGTCCCATTAAAATGTATGATTTAAATTAATTGTTGAATTTGACTCAAATTAAAATCTACCAAATATGGGCTAAAAAAAATATCAAAAATTTAAAAACACAAAATAATATAAAATAATTAAAAAACACATATTGGTACGTATCGAAGGGTATCAAAGAGTATCCAATCTTAGATATATATTGAATACGGGTACGTAATGAATTTACAAGTATCAGTTCTTCTTAAAGAGAAAGTGCAAATAAAAGCAATGAAGCACCGACACAAACTCGTCGACGAGATTTTTCAAAAAATTATTGACAAGACACGTCATCGACAAGTTGATTTAATTATTTAATTATATAGTATAAATTTAGTTTTATACTTATTATTAATTTTTCTTGTCAAAATATTTTAAATATGAGTACCTATTTATTATTTAATAATATTTTGAGTTAAAAATATACAATATTTATGATAAAAAAAATGAAAATGGCAGAGTGTCCGAGAAGTATCATGGACGCGCTACCTTAGTTGAAGTGTTCGTACCGCAGAGCATAAAAGTATCATGGATTGAGAGTAGCCAAGTTTTTAAATTTTTATATGATAAAACGAGATATGTATTCTATTTTTATATATATACATACGTCACATTCTCCACCTCAAGTTAAAACCTTTATTTCCCATGAAAGAATCTAAAATATTCTAATCAACATGAACATAAGTCGTTACATTATTAATCTATAAAACTATTCTCCCTTTTTTCAACTTTCACTATACCTTTACTGAACACTACATCTTGAATTTCCTCCCTTTCACAAATGCACCCTCATTGTAAGGAACTGTATACTCCAAGACTTCTCTCTACCTATTAGCTAAAACTTTGGGAATAATTTTGCACAAACATGACACCATACAAATTTGGATTAATACATTGTAGTACAATCAAAATCATTTTACCATGCAATTTGTCTTCAATCTACTCCATATTGAATGCTGCTTGACAAATGAAACATGTTCTCAACTTATAAATAGGCCTTTGAGGTGAAAAAGAGACACAAACAGCTAACATACACCCATTCATACAATACAATTTAGGCGCCGAGCCCCATTTTTTAAGATAATGAATTTTGTAATAGCAATTTTTTTGAGAATGTGGTCAACACATAAGAAAACGTTTTGAGTTTACGTGAAAAGTAATTTATTGGGAGAATGTGTGGTTGAAAATGAGTTTGACGAAAAATGAGTTTTCAGACAATGGGGCTCAAACAGGGGCTTACCATAGAAAGAAAAATGAGAAGGAATAGAAGAAAGGGAGAGAGAATAATTATATTCTTCAAATTCGAAAGGAAAAATTAATAAGGAGAGCACATCAATGACAAAATTGAATTCAAGTTTTGCATCCTTATTTTAAAATCATGAGGTAAAAATATATGCACGACTGTAATATTTTTTTTTTTTTTGATAGATAATCAGGAAAAATTTTATTAATCAAAGGAGAATACACAGGAAGTGTATAATCAGTTTAAACAAGAAAGAAA